CGGCAAGGGGCGCTGTCGCGGCGGACGATCGAGATCCCCAGCAACCACTTAGACTGCTACGCCTGGATGGTCAGGCATGCGGTCGTACGAACAAGATGAAGACAACTAAAGATCAAAGCAACAACAAAAACAAGGAACCAACAAGCAACAACTAGCTAACAACCAAAACTAGGAACGCTAATAGCACAAAGGCACTAGATAAGGCACAAGAAAAAGGCACCAAGCAAGAGGTTCGGAGGAAGAGCTTCCTAGAGGGCCTCTCCGACGCTTAAGCGGCACTCTTCATAGAGCACGCGCGGGAGGACGATGAACCCTCTACAAGTAGCGGTATCTTCCACGAGAGAGCTCTGAGAGAGGATAGTGGGCATGAGACCACGAGCGGTAGTGGGAGAAGGAGGTACCATAGCGAGTCCTCGCGCGGGCAAACCAGGTCCCCCAGTCAGTCCGGATCGACGACCTCGCGCGACTCTTTGAAGAAGGAGAGGGAACGCCACTCGGAGAGAAGGGCGAATCCGCCAACTCTTCCTCACGCAGGGAAACCCGGTTCGCTGACCGACTCAAGGAGGTTGGATCTCAGTGGCTCTGGGGCGAGGCACTATGTCAGGTCTCTCGAACAAGGCAAAACTCCCGAGGTAGCTAGGGAGCTGGCTCTCGCTAGATCGGCCCCACAAGGATCGAGTACGCGGGGCCCTGAACACAATGGCAGAACGACCGCACCCGCGGATGAGCGGAAGAGCGGACATAAGCAGCAGGCCAGACAGTCTGGCTCTCGCGTACAGACCGCACCCGCCGTTGGGCGGAAGAGCGGGCATACCGGCGAGAGTCATAAACCCGGACAGCACTATGCTACGGGTGGCAGGCACGTTAAGCATACTGGTGAGACCGCACCAGCTAACAAGCGGAAGAGCGGGCATAGTCGCTATGAGAGGCACAAGTACCAGGACGACAAAGAGGGCTCCGGTGAGACCGCACCCGCAAAGCGGAAGAGCGGGCATTTAACACCGAACACTCCGGCCTCAAAGAAGCAGCGGGAGAATCTACCCCCTCCGACATCGGGACCAGGGGGTGGGCATCTGGAGCCAGCGGCATCTCAGGGTAGAGAAGGGCAGACGCCTAGCTACTCTGATGCACTACGGGGCATCAGGGTTGCGGTCTTGCCTAGCGACTACCCTGCGGTGGCACTGAGTCCAGATGAGCATGCCTGGACGGAAGTACACCCCGCAGAATGCAAGTGGAGGCGTCCACCCTTTGAACACCTCGTCCATTATGGCGTCCTGTAGGGTAGGGTTTTGTCACCATGCGGACCTGGCGACCGAAGGCTACGGAAGAGAAGGAGGGAGGCGAGGAAGCTATGCAGGTAGATGGAAGTCTGCCGGCTGAAGCAACCTCAGAGGCAACCGCACCGGCTGAGGGCGTGCAGTCCTGAGCCGACACCTCCGGCCCAATCTTCTGATGAACAAGGCACCAATGAACGAGTTCCAGCAGCTCCCACACAAGGGCAAGTCCCCTCTACGCAGGAGCTGCTCGAGGGTATAGACCTGCGAAGGCTAGAGCTAGACAGGGGAAGCGAGAGTGAACTAAGGCTCTCGGACCTGGATGAGCAACTATGAGGTACCCACCTTGACTGTAATTGCGAGCAGGTTTTCTACGGACAATCTGGGTATAGTACTGATTCAGGAGCCGTGGACATACAGGGGCCAGGTAAGGGCCTCAAAGGAATACACATCAATGTAATATGGGACCTCTCTGTTGAGAGGCCTAGAGCATGTGTAATGGTCAGGAATAATATTGATTTTTTCTGCATTACAGAGTTTTTAAGCCAGGACCTAGTAGCAGTACAAGCGACGCTTTGGGTGGAAGGAAGACCCAGGGACATCGTGTTTGCTGCCGCTTATTTCCCGGGGGATAACCACAACATTCCCCCCGCAGAGGTACAAGACCTGGTGGCGCATTGCAGAAGAGCCGGACTTCCTCTGATCCTCGGTTCCGATGCGAATGCCCACCACGTTGAGTGGGGCAGCACCGACATTAACAAACGGGGTGAGTCCTTACTTGAGTATATTATAAGTGAAGACCTGTATATTAACAATGTCGGGCAATGTCCAACATTTGTCACAAGAACCAGGCAGGAAGTCCTTGACCTGACTCTCAGTAACGATCTGGGTAATAATCTGATTGGACAATGGTGGGTGTCTTCGGAACCTTCCTTGTCCGACCACAGGATTATCCGTTTCCGGCTGGGAGGGCAGGCCAAAGCCGTGACTCCAAAGAGGAATCCAAGGAACACCAATTGGGGAAATTATAGGAAATTACTAGATTTTAACCTACCCGGGTTAGAGAGGGATCACAAAAAGGTGCCTGTATGGCATTAGAGCATAAAGTTAATAGGCTAACAGATATAATAACTGATGCCTTTAACTATACCTGCCCCGAGACCCGACCAATAGGGAAGGGGAAAACAGTGTGGGGACTCTCATCCCTTCGGAAAGACACGCGCTAGCTCTTCAATAAGGCTAAGCGCACGGGATGCTGGGCAGAGTATGCGGCTAGTCTAACAAAGTACAGCAAAGAGATTATGAAGGCGAAGGGGGAAAGTTTCAGAACCTTCTGTGAAGGTATTTCTAATAACCCGGCCGCCGCGAGGTTACATAAGGCTATACCCAAAGGAACCATTGAATCAGAGCTTGCGCTTAAGCTCGCACATGGCACTTACACTAATAGTAGGGAGGAGAGGGCAACTGCCTTAATGCTGGCACACTTCCCGGAGGCCTCTAACCTGATGACGGAGCGGGAGGTCCAGCAAGCTAGGCCGCGACCATCTGATTGGAGACTGGCGAGAGGTATCTTCACTCAGGCTTCAGTCGGATGGGCGCTGGCCTCGTTTGAGCGCTACAAGGCTCCAGGGGTAGATGGCATCCGGCCAGTGATGTTACAACAGGGCAGTGAGAGTTTAATACCGCATCTCGTGGACATAATGAGAAGCAGTCTTGCTGAAGCGTATGTCACACAGATATGGCGAAGGGCGCGAGCAATTTTCATGCCGAAAGTGGCAAAAAGAGACTACTCGCTAGCGAAGTCGTTTAGACCAATAAGCTTAACCTCCTTTGTGTTAAAGGCAATGGAGAAGATTATAGATAACGCCATCAGGTCTACCATTCTGAGGAATATACCCCTGCACACATGTCAGCATGCATACAGAGCTGGAAGGTCGACGGATACAGCCCTGTACCAGTTGACAACCGAGATTCAGGGGGCCCTCGATTGCCGTGAATCAGTGCTCTGCGCCTTTCTCAATATAGAGGGAGCGTTTGACAAAACGTCACACTCTGGAGTGCGCAGGGCACTGGAGAGGAGAAACGTGCAGCCAGCGATCTGCAATTGGGTGGATGCCCTCCTGCGTACAAGGATTGCTGTAACCGAGATAGGAGACAGCGTGGTACAACTTCAGACAACAAAGGGTTGCCCGCAGGGACGGGTCCTATCACCCCTTCTGTGGAGCTTAGTGGTGGATGAGCTCCTTCAACTTCTCTCTGACTATGGTATCCGCTGCCAAGGCTATGCGGATGACATAGCGATAATGGCCAGAAGCTTATCCGCTGCCAAGGCTATGCGGATGACATAGTAATAATGGCCAGAGGGAAGTTTGAGAGCATCCTCTGCGACATCATTCAAAGAGGCTTAAGACTGACGAAGGGATGGTGCGATAAGTTAGGGCTTATCATAAATCCTGCCAAAACCGCCATCATTCCCTTCCCGGCATGAGGAACATAACATGCTCTTCCGGGCATGAGGAACATAACCTTGGAGGGGGGTCGTGGTTAGCGTTGCCAGCGAAGTGAAGTATCTGGGACTAGTCCTAGACACCAAACTTCTATGGAGGAAACATGTGGACGCGATCATCTCCAGGGCAACGAAAGCTTTAATGGTGTGTAAGCATCTGGTGGGAAAATCCTGGGGTTGTACGCCCAGAATCCTAAGATGGCTTTACATCATGATAGTACAGCCAATGATCACATATGGGGCGGTAGCTTGGGTTTCAAGAACTACTCTAGCCACGGTGAGACAATCGCTCACCAAGCTACAATGATTGGCATGTGTTTGTATCAGGGACGTGAACCGGTTTTGAACCGAACCGGTTTTGAACCGGAAAACCGCTTTTTTCTATTAAATAACTGAACCATTAACCGAACCGAAATTTTCCACAAATGTTTGATCCGAACCGAAAACCGAACCACTTTTCATAAAGGTTTAAAGGTTCGATGCATCAAATTTCAATAGATAAATTTACCCACTTTTTTCTCTTTGTTAAATATGGCAATACCATGTTTGTTTGCAATGTGACAATATCAAATGTAAATGTCAATATAATGGCAACCCATCTCATTTGACACACACATGACACATAAACTTGCGCGCTATTGCAATTTGCCAATTAAAAATTTTATAAAATGTCGAATCATCCCGTGCACAATTATTTTGTTTATTGCGAGTCTAATGATAAAAGCGTTTGTAAACATTGCGACGTAAAAATGAGTGGAAAACATGCTCAAAACTTACTTCGCCATTTTAAAACGAAGCACACGTAAGCTTACCAACAAATGCAAGAATCAAAGAAGGAAAAACCAGATTCTAGTTTCGCCCAGGAAAAATTGGATAAATATTTGAAAGCCTCGTCACATATGATAAATATATCTAAAGATCAATTGTTTGATGGATGCGTCGAGCTGGTTACCAAAAATGGTCGCCCTCTTGCATTGATCGAAGATAGTGGCTTTCGGAAAATTATTGAGCCAGTCATTGGGCGTGCGTGTTAATAAATGTAGCATAAGACAAAAGGTCTTAAAAAAGCAGCGAAAATACGTGCCAATATTCGCTCGTGCCTTAACAATTGGTAATTTTCTTTTTGTTATTCTGAACTTGACAATATGCATATTATTAAATCTGCACGCAGGTTGTTCTCGCTGAAGATTGATTGTGTCACAAGATTGGACCACTCTATAATGGGTATAAATGTGCAGTACTGCGACAATGGTGTTATTATCACACAAACACTAGCTATGAAGGAAGTCCATGTTAAACATAGTAGTTTGAACTTAACTCATATACTAATTAAGATTCTCGAATCGTATGGTGTAAGCCTGGTCCAAATTTGCTCTATAACCATAGACAACGCTGCGAATATGGTCAGTCTAGGGAATTTGGTCAACAAAGAGTTACAAAATATTGATAAAATGAATAGCGACAAAAACGAACATAACATAATAGATATGGAGTGTGAAGATGACGAAAGTGATGGAGAAAATGAGGATGTAGCACACCCACCGTGCGATGATGTCGCTGCTTTAGACGCTAGCTATTATGAAATTTATTCAAATTTGGAAATCGATTTTGCAGCAAGCGATAATATTACCGTAATAAGATGTGCTTCACATACCTTGAATTTAGCTGTATGTGATTTTCTAAAAGAAATCAAAGACATACGGAGCAAAGTAAAAACGGTCGTTAAAAAACTAAGAACTCCGACATTATTGCATCTGCTACGTGCAGAAAAGCTGCGTAAACCTGTTATCGAATGCGTAACGCGTTGCGGCTCCACATACAACATGTTTTTAAGTTTATTGCAGCTTAAAAGTGTTTGTGAGAAAAGCTCAGCTGATATTGCAGATTTGCATATAAGCGAACCAGAGTGGTTGACTATCAAAAGTGTTTGTTCAGTTTTGGAGCCCGTTTATTCAATTTCCATAAAACTTCAAAAAAAGATCTTGCTTTAAGTGATGTCTATTTTGCATGGTATTCATGCAAGTGTAAGATCGAAAAAATCTGGGGAAAGTATGCCGCTTCTTTTTCTAAATCACTAAAAAAACATGGACAAATTTTGCTGCGGAACCCGTATGTTTTGGCTGCTGTTTACCTGGACCCACGGTATCAAATACTACTTACTGATTCTGAAAAAAGTTCTGCGATTGAACACATTATACATGTTTTTAGTCTAAAATTGAAATTGAATGGTATGCAGGCTAATGAAGACTCGTCAATCTCTTCAAAAATCAGTACCGATGAGGAAATTGATGAAATTTTAAAAGAAATAGGGAAGAACGGGACGAAGTCCAAAAATAGATCATTAATAGATAAAATCAAATCGTTTGATAATACAAAGCGGCTTTCAAATAATGTTGATGCTTTGAACTTTTGGAATAACTACCTAGACAAAGAATTATCTGAATTGGCTCAAATTATATTTGGTGTTCCTGCAACCCAGGTTTCGGTAGAGAGGGCGTTTTCCACCCTAAAATTTATTCTTTCGGACCTACGAGGAAATATTGACGAGGATTTGTTAGAAGATATTCTTCTCATAAATCTCAACTGATTATTGTAAATCCGATATTTTATCAAAGAATTTCTACTACTATATATATATGTTTTTATACATATATTTTTTGGACTATTACTGAATAAAAATTAAACACATATATGTACATAGTTTTTTTTGATTTCCGAACCGTTGAACCGAACCGAAACCCCGGATCAAAGACCAAAAAAACCGCTTTGACGAACCAATCCAAAAGCGTAAAAACGGTTCGAACCGCTGAACCGAACCGACCAAATTTTTTATCCGGTTCACGTCCCTGGTTTGTATAACGGGAGCGATGCGAACATGTCCGACGACGGCGCTGGAAGTAGTCCTTGAACTCGAGCCTCTTCATATAACCATAGAGCAGGCAGCCAAAAGAACTCTGCTTAACTCTAGGAGCATGAAGAAGCTGGGGTCCTCGCTCCTACTAGCCCTGTAACTTAAAGATGACATTGGAAAGACAATAGTCTTTGAGAAGAGATTCAAAATAGAGCTTTGCAGTAAAGCGACCTGGAGTGTCTCCGCTGTCGAGACATTACTTAAGGGCAGCACTCTGCACTAGTACACGGATGGCTCGAAGACTCCAGAAGCAATAGGTGCTGGAATTGTTGGACCCAAAACCAGGATTTCTGTTCCTTTGGGGAAATATCCGAGCATCTTTCAAGCAGAAGTTTGCCCAATCTACCTATGTGCGGATACAATCATGGGTAGAGGGTATAGAAACGAGAGAATCCTAATCCTTAGCGACAGTCAGGCAGCACTCAAGGCCCTCATATCCTATGAGGTCAAATCGTTGCTGGTCCTGGATTGCATTGAGAAGCTTAACTCCCTAGGTAGACACAATAACATCAAGTTAGCGTGGGTACCTGGTCACAAGGGAGTAGAGGGTAACGATGCGGCTGACTGTCTCGCAAGAGGGGCGGCAGCCACTATTCCAGTCGACCCCGAGCCCTTCCAGTGGAACACTCTAAAAGAGGAGCTCAGGATAGAGAGGATCACTATGAGGGATTTAAACTGGCATAGTTCGTCAGAAATGCGTCAGGCAAAGAGTTTACTGGGAGGTTATAACAAAAGGAGATTCAAAAGGTTAATTAACCCCCAAAAGGGCAGCTTATAATAATAACAGGTATCCTCACAGGAAACTGCAGGCTGAGGGGGCATCTACACAAGCTGGGGATATGGTCGAGTGACCTTTGTCGGGTTTGCGACCTCTACACATCCTCCCCGAATGTGATGCAGTCTGCAGAAACGTGAGAGAAGTTTAGGCTCAATGTGGCCACAGCTTAGGCACATTCGCTCCCTATCCCCTAAGGTACTGTTAAATTTTGTCAGGGAATTAGGTTTGGAGGAGGTATTGTGAAGAGTGGAGGGCACAATAGATCACTAGGTCGCGGTACAAACCTCATTTTTATTATCTATCTATCTATCTAACATCAATGACGTCAGAGGTAGTATTTTTAAACATTACCCTTTGTGATCTATCATATAGGTATGAAGAAATCCAACGTAGAAAATTAGGTGCAAGACCAAGAAGATCAAGTTTATAAATGAGCAACGAGTGGCACACTTTGTTAAATGCTATACTGAAGTCAGTATATATGACATCAACAGTTTTGCTTTCACTAAATGCTTTCGAGATATAGGATGTTAATTCAAGTAAATTTGTAGAAGTTGATTTGACCTTGCAAAATCCATGTTGGTAATATGAAATGCTAGAAGAGATAGAATGATTTGTTATAGTTGCTTCGAATAATTTAGGAATTGCAGAAAGCTTAGCTATTCCCCGGTAGTTCTCCACTGAAGATCTGCTACCGCTTGTATGTAACGGGGTTATGAACGATTCCTTCCATATAGTTGGAAAACGCCCTCTTTAAGAGACAAATTAAATAACGCTGTTAACGGCTCATAGAGATAATCAGCACAATTTATAAGAAAATAAGTGGGGATCAGGTCAGGGCCATAACTGAAGGACTGCTTTAAGGATTTCAGATAAACTACTACATTATCGGGAGATATTATTGGGATATTTATTGAGTTCATTGGACATCGATTAAAGGGATAGTCAAAAATAGATAGAGTTAATGGAATAATTGGATTTAAAAAACTGAGCGAAAATGTTAGAAATNTAAGTGGGGATCAGGTCAGGGCCATAACTGAAGGACTGCTTTAAGGATTTCAGATAAACTACTACATTATCGGGAGATATTATTGGGATATTTATTGAGTTCATTGGACATCGATTAAAGGGATAGTCAAAAATAGATAGAGTTAATGGAATAATTGGATTTAAAAAACTGAGCGAAAATGTTAGAAATGGTTTGATTGTCACTAGAGACGATATTTTGATACTTGATGGCGGAAGGAAACCCGCGCACATTTCGCTTGGAGTTTACGAAGTCATGAAATGATTTTATACGCCGATATACGAGATACGTGATATTATACGCCGTTTGACTTTACACAAGTAAACTTTATAACACTTTTTGTTTAATTCAAAAAATATATGACGCAAAAGTAAGTATTTACATAGTATGAGTGTAAACCGGTTTTTGCGTGTAATCTAAAATAACGTGACTTTCTTTTTTTTTAATTTCTCAGTTCTTTAGTGAACCATAACTGTGTTTGTTCTACAGGAACATACATGCGTTTATACACATACTTTTCAAATAATTCATGCAAAGTAAAGTTAAAAATTGCAAAGCTTTGTTCAATATTTTCATTATATGCAGGCCACGACAATTTAGACAGTTCTTTGTTAAGATTTTTAAAGTTGGCTTTCGAAAAATCAAAACCATCACTTATAACTTCGTAAGATATCTCCATAGCAGGGTGGTAGACATCTTCGGGCAAACCTGGTGGATCACACTTATTTACAACGGACTTAGATGCATCATCAACATCAACAAGATCTAATACTTTACCAAACTTATTGTGTAGTACATTAACCTGAGTTAGGCCGAGTTCAGCCATCTCCTCTAAAAATACGTTGTTGTACCACTAGACGCGAAAGGTACGATATCATTGTCAATGATGTTCCATGATATGCTTGGTAAATTAAAATCACCCAACACAACCATTGGATCAGAGGGTTAGTCAATAAATTAACTGATTTTAGTAAAGAGATGAGTCGTGAATACGCCAATGAGTCAGATCGGGGAGGGATATAGCATAGAGCCAAGTAAATAGACCCTTTTCCAAACTGTACAAGTATGCATTTGAATTCTACTGTATCAATGTGTGGAAGACTAACTTCTTCAGATGGTATTGAAGAGCTACAGCGAAGAGTACGCCACCGGCGATTCTGCCTCCCTATCTTGTCTATAGATATGATAATTATTTGGAAGAATATCTGAATTGAAATTTTGGTAATATATACTTAAAGCAGATTTAATAATTAGTTTGTTGATTCAGTGTTATAACGGGGAATATTAGCTAAGTTATTTCCTTTTTTGGGCCTATGTTCGAATTCACGAACGAAAGCTCCGGGGGCCAAAAAGAACTACTTAACAGCGCATTAAAATTATCTAAATTTACGTTAATTTTAAATGAAGCAATATTTCTTTCGTATTTAAAATTAAATTTTCTGATGCTTAAGTCGGCAGTTCTAATTTTTGATGTGATATAAAACTTTATATCGTCTTCGGTAGTGTATCTCGAAAATCTAGAGACAAAGACTGACTTCTTTGGCGGAGCCACAACTAGTTTCCTTGTATCAGACTGGAGTACCGGCGGAAGGGGTGGAGTTACTGCGTTACTAGTAGAGGATAGGGAAGCCGGTGGAGGCTTTGAAGACGATGCCACCACTTCAATGGGGGAAGGGAAGATACTTCAGGCTCATTATTATTCGAAGAGATTTCGTTACACGCTCTTTTGAGGCTGAGGATTCTGCTGCTGGAGGACATGGAGAAGATAGATTAATTAAGTCAGTCGGAAGATTATTCTGACGTTCAACGGTAATAATTTCCTTAGATGGACTATGAAGACACTTACGTTTAGGCACACGGATATCCTTAACAGAGTGCAAGGTATATAAGCATTTGAATGATTTAAACACATTTTCATAATGCTTAAATTTTTCTGTCAGTACTGACAATCCTCTTCCTATTTCTGTAAAACCATTTCTGGTTTGCCTAAATAGCTTGAAAAGATCAACTTCGGTTGACCTGCACTTTACGCAAGACCAGCGAAGGCCCTTGTCGTCATTAATAGCATCCAGAATTCTTCCTGTCAAACCAGCACATTTCAGATGGTAAATACCATCACAAAGCCAGCGCGATAAGTAGCGTTCAGAATCGCTTTTAATTTGGCAAGTATCAACATCGCACTACATATTCAAAGATTTATGTAATTATTATATTATATCATTATATTTTTACCAACAATTTAATAAACATTTACTCTTAAAAATTATTTTTAAAT